AGGGTTCAACGAGCTGACTCATTAGTTTAATTAATCGGCTTATTAGTTTATTTTTAAAAAATTAATTATTCAAATCTTGTAAATTTTAAAAACATTAAAAATTTATGTAGTTATTAATTTTAAAACCTGTGAATATCCAAGATAATCTTAAAACAAGATATAAGGGTTAAGGGGCTAATAAGAAATTGCAATGGTGAAAGATTGAATAATATATGGACGAAGGAGCACGTTTGCTCTTCTTCTGTGGGCTGCATTTCTTTCTTGGGAAACAAATCACAGATTACATCTGCTTTTATTGAATGATGTCAGGCCCACAAATTCTCACATGTATCCATGTGCTTTCATTTAAGAAGCTAGCTACTTGCTTCGTTCGCTTCTTGACTAATCAACGTCGATCTACCCTAGGAGGAGGACGACTGTGTGCGTGTGCGTGTGCGTGTGCGTGTTTGAAATTGTGGACGAGTATAAATGGTGGCAAGAGGGCAGGGTTTTTTTGTACGTAGTTTGGTAGGTCTTCATTCAAATGAGAAATGAGTTCAAATATAATACGACTAGTTTAGATCCCCTGATTGAATCAAGTATTTGTTTGTATGTAATAAAAAATATTGAGGTCATATAAATTAATTAACCAAGCTGTTGAAAACTTAATGAATCCCAATTTCAGCATGTAAAAACTCAAGATTATTCATTAAATTGTGTCGGAGGATATTGTAAGGATATATTGTTCATATTGTTCAAGAAAAAAAAAAAGAGTTAATCTTGATCGATCGACAAATTAGTTTATAATTGAATATTATTTATCATTGAGACTTAAATGATCCAAGAAACACCGCCTACGAGCATTTGTTTCAATTTGTCGATGACTTCTGCTCCTGATGAAGCGTTTTAAACGAGCAGCCATGAACCTGATCTTTCAAGAGAAGGGAAGAGGGAAGGAAGGCAAGAGAAAGGGAAAGAAGAAATTGATGCGGGTGATCTTTCAGGCCCTCTGGACACCATGCATGGATTAAAAAACATACAGAAATCTTGCACACCCAAAAAGAATTGTGTCCCTTTTAAGTGAAGCTTTGTAATATTGTTCAACAACTCAAAACTAGTATAATATATTCTTCTAGCTTGCTGCCTAGCTCCATGCGAGGTGATTACATTGTACTGTTCAATTACTTGTAGGGATGCTTATGAAAGTTTTCTTAAAAGATTTAGCGAATTAATCCGAATCATTTCAAAACAGTATTGTTTATGTTTTTTCTAAAAAAAATTAAATAAAAATTAAGTTAAACCGGGTTTTAACGGTATGATTATCAACTACCAACAAATAAACTGCTTGTATGTATGCTACTAAAGCATTATGGGTCATTGCTGCTTGGTATATATTTTTTGAATGCAATATGTCGTCCTGCACGTAGCCATAAAAGAACCTTGTGTCCACAATATTGTATTAATTTAAGGTGATAATCTGTCGGTAATAAGTAGTTTGTAGGAACAATTAACATAACATGGTACGATAGAACGATGTTTTTACTAAATATTAGCTTAGATTTTAAATAAATTCTCTTGAATGTTTCATGTTTCTCTTTTAATTTGTGGTCTGATTAGGTGGGAAAAACTGAGCCCGCATTCATGTTGTTGTTGGTGCCCAGATAGCTACATGCACATCTCATATCTTTTATTGCTCGAAGCTTCACATAGTCAATTAATGGAGTTGGATCTTCAACACTGAAGCCATGCATTATAAACAAGATTGATCTTCCTCTGCTTGTCATTTCCTTACATGCTCTTTTTTTCAAAAAAAAAAAAAATTCCTTACAAGGCCACATCATGTGGGATTCACGCCGCAAAATCATTGATGCCTAGTTATAGGGTCATGGGGTCTAGGAAGGGCCTCTCAATATTGTGGTTTGATTCCATCATGAATTTCAACATGTTGCACAATCAATCACCATGATTGTGATCAAAAGCAATTTTGTCTCAGAAATTTCTGCTAATGGGGTTAGCCGTTCACACCCCCCCCCCCCCCCCCCCCCCCCCCTCCCCCTCTCGCTGTGAATATTTTTAGCTACAGGCCAGTATGGTGGTAATTATGCTAGCTCACACAAGTTGAAAAACTACATTTGTCTAAAATGGAGATTGCTGATACGTAAAGCTTATTAAAACCTTTCAAATGGTGAAAGGGCACATGTCAGTATAGATCCTTTCAAGTTGAAGAAGATGCTCAAAACAGCCAGGGAGATTTCATTTTCAGGCTCACTTTTCCTGCTAAAATTGCGACACATGTAGCAGCTCCTCGACATGCTACATATCGTTTTCTTATGGAGGCACCAAATTCTGACATGGTGGAGCAAGGCAGCACCAAAATCGCTTTTCTGGGAGCCCAGTACTGACATGTCTTGATTGGAAGAAGAGGTTCATATTCTCCAATCTTTAAGTTCACCTATCTAATCCATGTTCCATGATCCTGGCTTTGGATAAATCTTGAATTGGTTCTTGTCATATCCCTTGTCTTTTTCAATAATTTTGTTTTCCCTACTATTATGAGTGAAGATTTTGCATTAAGAACATAATTTGACATCTCCATGAATAGTTGCCATTGCCATGACTTTTACGATAAACCGACATTGCATGTGCCTCAATGCTTAGAAAGCTCAATCTACCTTTTTACATGTTTTTTTAAAATGATTGTAATTGATTTTTAAAATATTTTTTGTATTGAAATATATTAAAATGATATATTTTTTATTTTTAAAAAAATTATTTTAAGATTAATATAATAAAACGATTCAAAACATAAAAAAATAATTTTTAACAAAAAAATTTAAATTTTTTAGAAACATGGTTTGCACTACTTGCATTACTTTTCTAATTGGTGTCTTGATAAAAAACAATTTACTAACTTAAATATTTAATTCAAAAATTATACAATTTTAATCTAGATTTGGTAGAACAATCAATCAAAATTACTATAACAAAAAAACATAATCATGAATTGGAATCGGATAAACTATAGCTAGAATATATGATTCTGGTATCAATTTTGATTCCCATATCTATTTTTAAGCTAGGATCTATCTTGATACAGTAAATAAATATTTTTTTAAAACTGATTTTATTTTAAAAATGCAATGAAAAATATTTTTTAATTTTTTTTTTAAACTGTGACCACGCATTCCATGGTTTTGCAAACAAAGCAATCCAGATTAGAGAGAGAGAGAGGGAGGGAGAGAGGGAGAGAGAGGAAATCCACTATCGAGGTGGCATGGTCCAACCTTGAGACAAAGAAAGCCCCAGCAACACTAGGTACGTTGGGTTGGGTTAGGCCTTAAACAGTGAGAAAGAACAAACGTTTCTGGAATTTAGGTAATTGTTAGAAGAGAGTGGGACCAAAACATGATGTCTCTCTCATAAATGGATGATTCCTTTATTTTTGTAAGAATCAAGTTGACAACACGTCTAATTTAGTTGTTGGGATTTGTGTTCCAATGGCTATTCCACACCTGTGGCTCCATGGAGTCCCCACCGCACCCATCTGTTCAAGCCATGGTTCTTCTTCCCTCTTGCTAGGGCATGGTTACTTATCACGTAACGCCATGATTGAGAGAGCGAAAGGAGCTCAAAATTAGCCCATCATCCTTACTTTACTGCTGTTATCAAATTAATCCTAAATAAAATTAGTTTTGAAAGTATTTTGCTAATCATATAATACGTGTATGGATTGCATTGAAAACTTTTTCTCGAAACAGTAGCTGCACAATCCTAAATACACACGCAGTTTATGAGCTCAGGAACCTCTTCATCTCGTTTTCATGATATTGTTCTTTGTTTCTATACATGATTAAATAAAACAAAAAAAAACTTGCAATTTTTGCATGTTGAAACTGTTAGATTTGCGCATCAATGCAATTACAATGACTCGGTGCTCTATATATGTTGTTAGGATGAACACTGTGTAAGACAAGCAAGCAATCAACAGGAGAGCAAAATATCTGTGAAATTAGGAAGATAATTACTACTGTAGACAAGTTAAGTGTGTGTGTGCGCGCGCTTTGACATGACTAAGCTAAGATATTGAAGGAAACTAATGAGTTATTTTGAAAGCAAGTGAAACATGCGGTTGAGATTTTGAGCAAATATCAGAAAGGATTGAGAAAAAAATGGAAAATAAAACTGATGGGTATTAAATTAATTTATTCTTCAAGTGGTGATTATCATTTACACTTTTTTTTCTCATCAAATATCGATTTAATTGTAAATATCAAACTTTTATTTGGATCGCAAGAGTTGTTTTAACAAGCTCTGGAATTGTTTTATTTCGGCAGCTTGTGATGGAGTTTAGGGTTTTCACCAATATTTCTTGTAATTGGCAATACATTAATTAAACCATTAATCTGAGTTCTTGCTGTATTTATTTTAATGCAATACATTAAAGCTATCACGATGTCCAGTACAACCTCCATCTGGTTGGTATAAAATGAATATCTGTCCGAACCAGATGAACAAGTTTATCCTTTATTATTTATTTTATTTATAGGTATCTTCGATGATGTCCAATACAACCTTCATCTGGTTGGTATAAAATGGATATCTGTGCGATCCAGAAGAACAAGTTTATCCTTTATTATTTATTTTATTTATAGCTATCTTCGATTTTGAACGACACTTTTCTATTTTGGATTTTGACATGACATAGCCATAGGCCCGTAGCCTTAGCCTCATGTACGAGTAACAGAACGAGAGGCCCAGAGAGAAGTGGCAGCTATTTAAGAACAGTCAAGATCTAAATGATGCAAAAACCATCGCGTGCTGCTGCATGTAGTAGATTTTTTTTAATATAGAAAAATCAATTGCTAGGAGTAAAATCATGATTCCACTGCTCCAGTGAATAGAAACATGTGTCGATGCCCTTTTAGTTTAGTTTTTTCTGGTAATGATATAGGCAAATGCATAGATGTGTTTCATACATTTGGTTGTTAAATAGCTGAGTACCTGTAGAGTGATACCATGGCAGGACAAGTGCGGGCTATCATCAGCCAACCTGTTTTGCCACGCCAAGTTCACCGCATCTTGTGCTAATACAAACCTACTTTTTACACTAAACTGTTTGACAGATACGAAAAAAGATTGCACATTTCATGAAACCTAAACTCTTTGCAACCGTAATTGCATGCATGAATGTTAACGACAAACACCTTGTAATCCTCCAATGACTGATGATTCCGAGATTTATTTGGCTTTCACAGGTTCAGCTCTAGGCCTCCACAGCCCCAACCTATACTTGTGAGCATATTTCAATATCAGCTTCCTCTGTGAAACCAAAATCAGAAGTTAGAATTCATGACCCTAGGCACTTCGAAGATTTCTACACGCTAAACACTCTGTGATCATCCACCACATTATATCAAAGATTATCACAGACAATCCTTACCCTATTCTCATATTTACTTTCACAATTCTCACAGAAAATTGAACAATTACTAGTGTCAGTGCACCATAGGGAATACCCAGCAGAACATTATCAAACTAGAAACATTAAAAGGTAAGAGTGGTTAGTTAAACCACGCATCTGATATTATGTAGAGATAATATTTTGAAATAAATCCAAGAGCTGCAGGACATCATCATCAAATAGAGGCTACAAGAGTAAAAGCTTGAAATGAGATATCAGCTATAGCTTGAAATCATGATTAATTGAGCCAGTAACAATTCCGTTAAAACTGTGACTACAAGAATTTACGTGCATATTTTCAAAAACTAATTTCATCACGAAAATATAAAATTACAAGAACTCAATATTGTCAGAATCCAAGCAAACACAAATATGCACATTACAAACCAAGTTTGGGATAGAGAATAATTACCTGTTGACAAGGAATGCCTAGTTTCTTGAGCTTTAAAGTCCGAGTAACAAGAAGTTTGTGAAAGTCACCAATTTCAGATTCAAGCTTGGTCACATGGGCTTCAACTCCTTTCCCTATTCCATTTAGAAACTCTGGAATTCCAACTTTCACTGCAATGAAAACAACATAACGGCAACAACAATCTCCATGCTCAGACTCTTATTAATTGCAAAAAAGAAATCAAAGAAAAAGATGCATACAACAGAAAATATACAAAAACGTCATTGCTCCAACAACACATCCACCAAAAGATTGAATCTTTCAAAACTCAATTCCATTTTAATCTCTTACTAAAACTTGAAAAGCAAAAAAAAAAAAAAAAAACTAATCTTTTTTCCCAATTTCCACCTGCAAGCTAATTAGCCAGATCCTGTTTACATGAAAATCAAGTTTCCTCCAGTTTACACGCGCGCATAAAAAAAAATCGAAACTTCAGGAGCAACAAAGGAGAGACAAGAAAATTAAAGCAAAAACTACTAATATATTCCCATTTTCAATCCAAGAAACCAAACATCATTAAAAAAAATCAGCTCAAGAACATGAAATTAGCAAAGGATTACACTGAAAAGAGAAGAACCAACTAAAGGAAATGTTACCGATGTAACGAGAGGACGATTTGGAGAAGAATCTAGAGAACCCAGGTGTAGAAATTGCTTGTTGTGTTGGGATTGAAACTGCCCCTTTCGTGTTTGTGATTATCTGCCTCCATGCCATTGCCATCTTGAATCCCTGTTTGTAAAGCTGCTCTGGGGTTTTTGGGTTTCAGCAGAGTGGCTTCGTCCAGGACTTTGATTGTGTTTTGAGAACATAGAAACGACAGTCATCAAGTTACAAGCGACAGGTCGTTCATGTGAATAAACAAATAAAAGGGTAAAATCATCGTATGATTAAACCCATTAATTTTAATCAACTATCTAAGAAATTTTAGGAGCATCATTCTTGCCAAACTCCTACCACAAATCTATTGAAAATTATAATCTACTCCCTATTTGTTTTGTAAATTTATAAGCTCACCCTTTTGTTTTTAAAAATTATTAGTTAGTCTCTTTTTCCCTACAAATCTTTTTAAACATCCAAATTTATTATGGATGAATCGAAAAAGAGGACAAGGTGAGAAAATAGGTAGAAGTTCTGAAATCATATTAATATATATATATATATATATATATATATATTATTCTTTATATTTTTTAAATTATAAACTTCTGATGCTTTAATTTTTTTAAAATTCAATTTTAATTAAAAACTTTATTTTTTTATTTTTTAGTTTGAGAATAAGAAAAAGTTACTTAATTTACGTGACAAGAAAAAAAAAAACTCAATCAACTCTAACTTTTTTCATGAAAAAAATTAATTTTAGTGTTAATAAATTTATAATTCATCTTATTATTCTTTTTCCTTCAATTTTATCATTTAATTAAATAAAAACTATTATAAAAAACAAAATTATTACACATAGCTACACACCTCTATCTTAGCAAAAGACAAGAGGGGTTACAAGGAAAAGCTTTCTTATTAAGGAGTCAAAAAGTTAAAGCTCTTCAACAACACAAATTGCCTATGTTACAGAATCACCCCTTGACCCAATGGCGTGGCCATCGCCCATTGGCTACACCTTACTCCTTTTAAAAAAAAAAACACAGAAAAAAAATCATCAACCCCAACCTCACGTGCCTCACGTGCTTCTCCACTCTTTAACAATCAAATCTTGACAAGCCAACCACCACCATATTGTTGAAACCCGTCACCAAACTCCTCCCCTGCTAGCGTCACTTTCCGGCAGCAACAGCACCAAGAACATTCTGGAGACTTATTCACGACAAGAAGAACTTTCTTTCCTACACAGTGCAACCACAGAAGAGAAGGTATAAAGCCAACATGGAGATAAGAGCAACCGACTCAAAAGCAGTGACCAAGCTCCAAACCACATCATCCACGATCGAGAAGTCAAGCTCCAGCCACCTCAACAACCGTCGTGTGACCCACCAACTAGATGGGCTTGCTGTTAATTGCGACGGCCACCACCGGAGGACGGAGAATGAAGATAACCAGAGAGAAGAAGTGAAGAAAGATAAGTCAAGACCAAGCCATCGTCGGAATGTTGGCGTGGACCGCCTACCGGCCATTAACGCTGTCTTGTCTTGATTAACGGCTCTCTAGGCCTACAGTAAAGAGATGTTTCTTTCTCTAAAAAGAGAGTGTGGGATTCTCTCAGGGAGTCGTGAAATGTGGGATTTTTATGGCTGTAATGATGATTATGATTTCGAGGGTGTAAATGCTAAGATGTGTTCTTGTTTATGTGAGATTGGGATTTTGGAGGACCCACATAATTTGTTGATCTTCATCGCATATTTGTCGCATACGACTCCGTTCCGCATGAATCTATGGTATAGATAGAAATGTAAGGTCTCTAATACCCCTGTTTGGAGACGCAGAACCGTGATTCATTAAAAATTATTTATTTTTTTAAATTATTTTTTATATTTTAAAATTGTTTTATGTGATGGTATTAATAATAATTTTAGAAAATAAAAAAATATTATTTTAATATATTTTTAAATAAAAAATACTTTAAACCATAATCATTACTATATTGTCTGAAATTTTAATTTAATTTAATATAAAACTTGATTTGGATTAATGATGTGTTTGGAATAGCTTTTGTTTCTATTTTTATGTGATTTTAACTCAAAAAATATTAAATTAATAATATTTAGAGTGTTTTTTGATGTTTTAATATATTGATATTCAAAATAAAAAATTTAAAAAAAATTAAATTTTTTTAAATAAAAAGCTACCTTAAAAATATTATATATTGCAAAATTTAAGGGTTTAATTGAAAAAACCCTTAAATATTAAGCTGAAATTGATTTATAAAAAAATATTCGGTGGCAATTAAAAATAGATAGGATTTTTCAAACTTGTGTGTCCTCGGATGTTTTAAGGAGGTATTTTTTTCTTGTGGTTTAATATGTTTTTGAAATTATTTTTCAATCAAAAAACTATTAAATTAATATTTTAAAATGTTTTTTTAATGATTTTGATTTTCTGTTCTTTAATATAAAATATAAATAAAATATTAATTTTATTTATTTTATATTAAAAAATATTTGCATTACAAAACACACACTAAATTAATTCTTTCTACCGACAAAATGGAGTAATTGCTCATTGTCAATAAAACAAAATAATAATTATGTAGGCCAGCGAGATACAATAAATTATGGTAATTTTGAGTTTTTGCAATGGAGGGGGATATTTGAAAGCACAATAAGGAAATACAGCTCATAAAATTGATTCAGGATTCAGAACTAGAATTAGGTATGACTTGGTTGATTTGATAGGTTGACTTGATCATTTAATAGGTTGATTTGATGATCTGATTAAAATTCTAGTTATAATTCATTAATTTTTGTTTTTTATGTAATTAAAATGATATCATTTTAATTTTTTAAAAATAATTTAAATAATTTAATTAAAATTTAAAATCCAAATCTTTAACCATACCAAGTCTGGCAACCACGGATAACGGAACAAAACTTGAATTTTGGAGCATAAGAAGAATACAAAATTCGGGATTCCAATGATTAACTTCCTGTCAATAAATATTAGGGCAGAAAAACTGTATCTAGCTTCTGTGCCGAACACTACAAGACAAGCAAATAATAGTTTGATTCTGAAATGCAATGATAACTAGTGAATGGGCACTGTTCAAATAAAAGAAATCTTACTTATGTGGATTATTTAAACCAATTCTAGTATTAAATTCTAAAGAATGAAAATTATTCAAATCTTGGATAATACTTCTTATTGTTTTATTATTTATGAATTGTTTAAATTAATGGGCTTATTATTTTTTCTAAACAACTGGAGACTTTTCGGCTTGAATATGATTTCACTTAATAAATATTTTTTTTTAATATTTTAGGTACAAAGATTAATGTGATAAAAAATTTCTGATAATTTATGCTATGACATGACTCTACAAGTCCAGTAGAATATCATGTACTTCCATGAGATAAGGCTATTATATAAACTTGAGTCGCCACTCTAAACTATTAACACATTATATATATATATATATAAAGAAGAGATGTTTCTTTTGTTTTATAATCATAGCTATTGTTTAGGTATTCAGGAATTCATATATTAATAGTGTAAAGACTTAAAAGATTGTTGATGGACAAAAATTTATATAATTCTAGATAAATAGTTCTAGTTGATTCAAGTATATTTTTATGATATATTAAGAATATAATTATAGTTACTTTTCAAATAATTTTTTATATTAAAATAAATGTTAATAATTTTTTTATTTTTTAAAAATATTTTTGATATAAGTATATTAAAATAATTTGAAAACATTAAAAAATATTAATTTAAAATTAATAAAAAAATAAAAAAATAAAATTTTAAAAAATATTTTTAAAACATAAAAATAAAAGTTTTAAGTTAAAAAAAAACTTTAAAAATATATTTTTGATTTAAATCATTATCATGAGCTTGAGCTTGGCCACTGGGCACATATCAACACCCGTGAACTTGGATGTAGCGCCCGAGCGTCCAGTGCCCTATGGGCTCAGGCAATACACCTGAGCCTAGGCATTAGGGGCCCGCTTAATGCTATGCGGGCTTGGGCATGCTCCACATCCTAGCTTCTTTTAGGTTTGGATTTAAAGGGTTTTTTTTTTTTTTTTAAATTAAACTTAAATTTGTTAACTTGAATACTATTTAATATATATCACTAGGTGTATAAGAGTATTTCAAGATATATTACATTTTGATCTAGGTGAACTTGGAAGTAACGCCCAGCCCACTCGCTGGTATTATACCTCAGCTTTCTTTATGATGCTGTGCAATACATTACAAGGCAAGTAATGGTAATAAATAAATTTAAAAACAACAACGGAGTCTTTATGCAAAATCTTTTCAACAATTTAATGCATATATAAAAAATATTGAAATGTGCACAATTACACTTAACATCAAACCTTAAGAAACACTTCAGTACATTTCAGACAATATTTTTCTTAAAATAATGATATGAAGATGTTGTACTTGAAAACGAAACATTTCTGGACTGTTACAATTAGTACAAGCAGCCTTTGAAAGAGGGAAGGAAGGTATGTTGAGCAGCTTCATCCTCCCATTCTAGCCTTCTCCACCAATCTTCCCATCCCTGAATGACAATTCCATGTTCCTTCGCACTGTTAGAATTAAGGGGAAGCTTCCTCAGATTGGGGCAATCATCAACAAAGATTTCCTTCAGAGATGGAAAAGGCAGGGCATCAGGATAGATGACCTTCAATTGTGGTAGGGAAACTAACCGAAGAAATTCAAGTTCTTCGAACACTTTGAGATTCCTTTGACCCGATTTCTCTTGCCGAATGATCTCTTCCATTTTAGAACATCTCGATATCATGAGGAACTTGATGTTTGGAGCAAGAGTTAGCCATGTCAAGTCCTCCAATTTTGAACAGTTGACTATAGACACTCGGCGGAGGCTTTTGAAGCTTGTTTCGCTCGTGATCGAGGAGTTGTTGATGCTCAGGTCTTTCAGGTTACTGCAGTCAATGAACTCAAGGTCATCTAGACAGTTCATACCTTCGAGAAGTGATATGTCAAGTGAACTCGTATGCTGAAATTTTTGGAGGGACAGTGCTTGGGTGGCGGTCAGGAACTTGTTGAAGCTTGCAAATGTTTGCAGAGAATACTGGCTTCTTATGGTGATCGTCAACAGATTCAAATGCTTCAGGCACTGCAAATCCCTTGCCAAGGATCCGGGTCCACCAGTCTGGACACCATCTCCGACAACACTATCAGAAGAACCGCAATCAACCATTCTCAATACTGTCAAGCTTGAGAAGTTAGATATCACTTGCATTGGAATCGTGCGGAGTTCAGAAGTATGCTCCAAGTTCAAACATTTCAGCTTCACCAAGTTTTTCAGCTGAAATGGCAGCTGCCTTATTCTTGTCTTTGATAGATTCAGATACTGTAGAGAAACTAATTTCAAAATTCCTGACGGAAATTCAGTTATTTCTCTATTTTCGGACAGGTCCAGGACTTTCAGAGAAAACATGAATTGAAAGAAAGTATCACTAATCATCTTCAAATTATTTTTTGTAAGAAACAAAGTTACCAGATCATTGCATCTAGGTGCTTTTGATAGATTCTGAATGTTGTTAGCCATCAGAGACACCCTTCTCACCATTTCCCATTTTCCAACCTCCGGTGCATCGGCTAACTGAGTCCCGGACTCGACCAAATAAACTGGGTTCTCGTTCCTGCTATCTATCCACAGAACCATATCGCGAATAACTTGATGCATTTTCACATCTCTGCCTTCATCTTCCAGTAAGCATGCTTGTGTAAGAATGTCAATGATGTTGTGACCTTCAGTTCTAGCCTCGTAGGCATCACTATATGCACCCAAGAATCCCTCCCCAATCCAGTAATCTATCAGGTATGACTTATTTATGCAAAAGCCATCTGGGAACAAAGCACAATACAAAAAACAAGATCTAACCTTGTCACTACGAAGACTATCGTAGCCAAACTTCAGCAGAACAAAGTCCCGATAGGGAGTGCGTGAAAATTCTGCTGTGGCCCTGCTCAAGGCCTCGATGGAATGATGCCATTCCAAGAGGGTCTTTCTGAAAGCCATTGCCCGGCCAACAGTTATAAGTGCAAGTGGTAGCCCATTGCACATTTTGGCAATAGTTTCTGCCAGCTCAGGAATCTTCGGATGAATGTTAAGTGTGTCTTCGCCAACCTTCTCTTGAAACAATTTCCAAGCTTTCTCCCATGCCAAACCACCCACTCGAATCTTCTCTTCCGCGCCCATACTGTTGCACAACTCCTCTGAACTAGTGGTGAATACTAGCTTGGAGCCATTTTCTCTAGAAGGAACTCCAACTTCAGCTAGATCAACTGGCTTCCTCAAATCATCCACCAACAACACAAACTTCTTTTGGCTCAGAACAGAAAAGACCTCCCTAGCTTTCTCTTGAAAGCTTTTACCCTTCCATCTATCTTCAAGAAATCCTATTTCCTTACCAATATCACCTTGGATTCTTTCAGAGTCAGGATCCTGGGATGCCACCACCCATATAACGAAATCAAATGGGAGATGTGAGCTGAGCAAGTTATTGCTGACTTGAATCAAGAGAGCAGTCTTGCCTGCACCTCCTGGTCCATATATGCCAATAGTTGAATTCTCTACTTCACGTAGGCACCCCATAACTGATTCAACAGGAGAAGACACCGAGCTCAAGTACTTCTCACCTTTTTCAATATGATCAAAAACAGCTCTCAACTTCTCATCAATTTTCTTCCCTATCTTGTACCTGGACCAGCAATTCTTAGGACAGCAGCTTCCAAAGCAGTTCTTCTGCATCTCTTGTGCGGCTTGATTCGTCAATTCATTAACTTCAGTTATCATACGTTCAACCCTTGAAACCCACCCTGTCACTCGAGATATCGTGCTCCGAACCTCGGCCATCTGCACTTTCCCTGTCAGGTCGTTCTTCAGATGCAGCAGCTCATCCATCTTAGTTTCCAAGATGCGAAGATTTTGCTCGTAATCAATATAAACCACAGGTTCTTTAATCACATTCCACAAGAAGGTGAGGACTTCTCCTATAGGAATATTGGCCATGGTTTCAAAAGACTTGAAAATTGATGCAGGACAAAGGGCTGAAAATTTTAGGTGGTTGGTGAGAAAATGGATCTTGTTGTTCTACGAGAAGAATGCATGCCTCCTTTTAATTAGAGGTTAAGACGTGAAACACGTTTGGATATTAAATTTTTTCTCAACAAGTAAGCTAAGAAAAGAAAATGCTTTGTGGTTGAATACAAACAAGGTATCAAACTTTCGGATGTTGCATCTGTTCAGCATGTAAACAGGAATCGTCGTTACTAGTAAGAAGAAAAACATTGATGGTTATTCTTCAAAAAGAAAAGAGATTGATAGCTAATCAATTGTAGGGCCTGAAAGACTACTTTACAGGTTGCAGTGAAATGAATTCTCTGTCAATGCATCTCGTGTTTCATCAAATTTTGGCACTGCAAGTTGCAACAAGCTAGCTTTGCCAAAGCTATCTTAAATAAAGAGAAAGCTAGCAACAAGTTTCTTGAGATCGAGGTCCTTAGAAATTCTGTGTGGAAAATATAGAAAGTGCAGCACTGCTAAGAGTGCATTGTTCTGTGGAGAGAACGTTAAATAAGTAAGGATATTTTACACATTTGAACTACTTTCTTCCTAATATATAATTCCCAGGAATTAAGTCAGAAATTTTACTTGCAAGTTGCAAGCTTACCCAAACAATTTTTTTCTGCCTCGTGCTTCTCTCTCTTTTCTCATCATAGCGTATTTCTATGCAGGCTGCAGCCTTCAAGAAAGATGATAAGAATGTTCGTCCATCGAGCACATAATGAGTAAAACTCTTTCTGCAGAACTTTTTCTTTAACAGAGAGTGAAATATTCCAACATGCATGTTTCTTTAACTTTGTTTCATTGTTATCTGATTTGCTTTTATCAGCCCACAGGCCACATGCATGCAGCTTTCCAAACGCCACCAAACACTTTTCTTCCCATTTTCCATGTGATGTCTCTAGAGAATTTTCTTTCATATTCTGAAAGCAAAGCCATGAAATGAAAACAGTTGATGTTGAGTCTAGGGATGACTCCAAGCACGCAACAGCATTTAAGGTATGCACAATCTCCTGACCCTCGTTTTATTTATTCAACACCTTTGAGGGCTAATTAATGTCGTGGATTTTCTCTTGGTTCAATAATTAGGTACAGATTTTCAGATGATTAGATGAACCTAGCTGTTCATGCATCCAATTGTTGGAACATTGCTAATCTTGGCCCCTTTAAGTTTTTAAACATTAACAATATGATGGATAAATTATTAACTCTGCTCTCATCTAATCGAAAGTTTTGATCAGGAATAATCTTGGCAAGAACAACTACAATTATCATCATTCTTTAGCTTCATTTGTTCGATATCATAAAGTATTTTTGAATCAGTTTATGCGCTAATTAAAGCTGATTTTTCTTTAATTATTTTAAAGTTATATTTAGTTGATGTTTCAAAATAAATAAAATAAATACTGAAATAACATAAAAATATCTAGTTAGAGACTGAGACATAAAATAAGTATAATTCTAGCATAATTTTAAAGAAAATTTTAATAATTTCAGAATCAATACGAAAGAGCAAACTTGTCATATGCACATGGGGCGTTCAAAGATTATTCAAAGGTTAATATGAGTTTTATAATTGGTTAGTTTTCTTGATTATTAAGGGGAATAAAGGACATGAATTGATATAAAAAAAGAAGAAAGGTCCCATCAAGACCAATAGGCTCAAGCATAGCCTATCCAAGAAGCAAAGGCCCAAAACCTAAAAAAACCACAGGAATAGCATAAAGTGCAGAACCTGGCAGACGCTTGGTACAGCCCAAGAAACCAAAAGCAAGACAAGCTCCAAAATCCATAGCCATCACAACACCATCACACCATCGCACCATCTTTCTTTCAAAACAAATACGTTGGCATTCGCTTATTGACCCTTTCTCTTACGTTCTCTCTTCTTGACATTTCGTCGAACACAAAACGTCAATCTCTCTGCTACCCTAAAAACAACAATGTCGCTGCGACCAGGTACACGAACAGAGGTGAGGAAGAAGTCATACAAGACTGGAGTGGATGCAGATGAAGCAAGAAGGAGAAGAGAGGACAATTTACTGGAGATCAGAAAGAATAAAAGAGAAGACAATCTTTTGAAGAAAAGAAGAGAAGGTCTTTTGTTTCAGTCTCAAAGTCAGCCTTTGCTTGATGCTGCTCAACATGCTGCCAATATCGAAAAAAAGGTACCTTTTGAAATACCCATTTTGTTATTCTTTTTTACTTTAGTTAGTTTTTGTGGGTTCTTGATTTCTCTTTTAAACTTGGAAAGTTGGAATCTTTGGTGGGTTTAATGTGTAATATGAAATGGATAATGAAAGCCCTTTTGAGTTTTCTGCTCGTTGTGATTTCTTTGTGGGGTTATCTTTATTTTAAAGAAAATTGATTTTGAATGGTTTTTGTGAAGTTAGAAACTTGAATCTGAAGTGGGTTTTAGTGTATAATGAGTAATTAATTACTTGGTTTAGTTTTTGGGAATTTTATGAATTAATGAACTGAAAGATCTATTGAATAAGATCTTTTTTTTTGGAGGGGGTTAATTATAGTGCTTCGTGGTCATAGAATTCCATCGCAAACAATGAATAGGAGACTCATTTCTCTGTGTTAAATGTTTTTGATGGACGAGAACTGCAGGGGGAATAAGATTTAGAGTTTTGGACATTATTTTAATTGAAGCTGGAATCTCTACAGAAATAAATCTTGGGTCTTATTTGAGTTCTCTTTTCAGGTGAGAAATGTTGTAAAATTAGGTAACTAAAGATGGATGATATTATGAAGAAGAGAGATGGGATTTTGCTCAAAGGAGGACATCCATGTCACCCTTTCTTAAGTAATTGAATTGGATTTATTTTTGTTTTGATTTCTGGGATGGGAATGGTATTTGATTGATGAGTTTGTTTAATCTCAGTTTGTTGAAATCATAATTTTGAACATATAGCACGGTGACAGGTTAATTAGAATTTGGATTTCAACTCAACTACCTAGCCCATGCTCCCCCACCAATGCTGATGAGAGAGGGGTTTTTCTTTGGGATAACAGTTGGTTGATTTGGCTAAGACCTGTGGATGTCGAGGGTTTTGTTTTTGTTCCATTATGTAATGCCATGACAATTTGGGTTTATGTGAGATGAATTTCTTTATTGCTTTAGATACACCATTAGTCTTTCCTAGAAGCTCCCAATTTTATTTTCTTATATTCAAAACTGTTTTAGTTCTTTCCTGACCTCTGCGGGAAATGTCTCCTCCAAGCCTTTAATTTATCAATTTATTTTATCATTGTTTCTCTTTTTTCTTCTTTCTTAATATAGAAATCTGCCCATTCATAAAAAATTAAGTATTAAAATTTAAATTTAGCCTTTGGTTTTCCTTTTCATGCTAGCCAATCAAAGATTTGATGTTTTGTGTCTAATTGTTTGTGTTGTTTGACAGTTGGAGAGTCTTCCGGTGATGGTCCAGGGAGTGTGGTCTGATGATCCTTCCTTGCAGTTGGAAGCAACTACTCAGTTTAGAAAGCTTTTATCTATTGGTATGTATTCCCTTGTATACAGAACATACTATTCATTAAGCAATGCACCTGCTTGATTCTGACACACCTTTACTTATTTTCCACATCGCTGAGCAGAGCGCAGTCCTCCTATAGATGATGTAATCAAAGCAGGTGTGGTCCCGCGGTTTGTGGAATTCCTTGGAAGGCACGATCTGCCTCAACTACAAGTAGGATTGTCTGCACCAATCCTCTTTGTTCTTCAAGAAAAATAACTTGTTTGAAGATTACTAATCTTGCAAGAATTGACTTTGTTTTCATGTGCAGTTTGAGGCTGCGTGGGCTTTGACTAATGTTGCTTCTGGAACATCAGAGCATACGCGAGTTGTCATAGACCATGGTGCTGTTCCTATGTTTGTGCAGCTTCTTAGTTCTGGAAGTGATGATGTCAGAGAGCAGGTTGGCACTTGCTTCATCTTTTGTGAACTTTATTTGTTGCTTTAAGGTGTTTGTGGACAATATTTTTTGACTTTCAAGATAAACTTTAAACAGCAATACCTCTGTCGCAATTTGCTTAACAAGGCAGCCTAAATGCCCTGTATTCTAACATTTCTCAACCTCTCACTGAAATATGCTGAATTTTCCATTCATTGCTCTTTCCTTTGCATTCCCAGGTTGACCATATTTCTATCCAGGGTAGCTCTTTTCATGTGCCTTTGAAAATATACTGAATTATACCCTTACTGTTTCTTGATTAGGCGGTATGGGCCTTGGGCAATGTTGCCGGTGATTCCCCAAGTTGCAGGGATCTTGTTCTTGGTCATGGTGCTCTGATGCCATTGCTAGCTCAGCTAAATGAGAATTCAAAATTATCCATGCTTAGGAATGCTACCTGGACATTATCTAATTTTTGTCGTGGCAAGCCACCGACACCATTTGATCAGGTAGGAACTGGGAGATAACTGTAGTTTCTGTTGATTTGCTAGAAAACCTAAAATATAGTCTTTTCAAATAGTAATATTTTTTTTAAATGTATTTGCTTCTTTTGTAGCTCCATATGTTTGAATGGCTGATCATGTACTGCAGCTATAATGTTCATTCTTGGATTCTTTCAGGTGAAGCCTGCTTTGCCAGTTCTCCAGCAACTTATCCACCTGAATGATGAAGAAGTCTTAACAGATGCATGCTGGGCACTCTCCTATCTTTCAGATGGTCAAAACGACAAAATTCAGGCTGTGATTGATGCTGGTGTCTGTCGACGTCTGGTGGAGCTTCTTCTGTACGTTTCTGTATCACTATACACTTCTTTGTACCATATTTATTTAGCATAGTTAATTTTCTGCAATCAGGCCAACCTCCTTTATCTGCTCTGTTTGTATTTTGTTCAGTTTTTATGGCAGTTTGACTAGTTGTGCTGACTATATGTTTCTTTTAGTCATCCATCACCTACAGTTCTTATTCCTGCCCTTCGAACAGTTGGAAACATTGTTACAGGCGATGACGGTCAGACTCAGGTGCTTCCCATATTGTGAACTATTTCGTTTCTGTAGACCTGATAGCTTATTCTCAATTGAACACTATCAACCCTGTAGAATTTGACTAATTTGGGAACACCAGTTTTATTGCTTTTGTCCTTTAAAATTGTTTTAGATACTATTATTTCATGTAACTAGGCTTGTATAATTGAAATGATTACTTGAATTCTCTCTTTTGCTTGCTAATGTGTGCATGCATATTTCCATTGAAAATGTTGTGCTTTCTTTCCTTTGATCATTCTTTAAATTGTTGTTTTTTTCTTTTTCAGTTTGTAATTGACAATCAAGTCCTCCCTTGTCTCCACCAACTTCTCTTGCAAAATCACAAAAAAAGTATCAAGAAAGAAGCGTGTTGGACAATCTCTAATATCACAGCTGGAAATAGAACTCAAATACAGGTAATCATTATTGAAAT